GTTAAACAAATGTTTAAACAACTTTATTCAAAACTATATATCATACATTTAAAAACAAATCTGTCTTAACATATATCAAAATAATTTTACTGTCAGAAATATTCAAAATATGTGGTAAATAATTTATTCTGTATAAAATTCAGCATTACATTTTAAACTTTCTCTCTTAACACTCTAAAATACTCCTTCTCTGGTCACTTTTACATAAGAGGCTTTATTTCACTAGGGTTTGTAGGCTTAGTTGAGTTGACTGTTTCAACAGGAAAGTCTAGCATGTATTAAATTATTCTAGTCTTAAATTTTGTGGTCTCTAATCCTCACCTCAATGATTTTCTGCAAGTTTCGCCAGGTTTCTTCTAATGCTTCCATGGTGAACCAAGTGTAAGGGTTTGAGCCAACATTGAAGTTTTTGATCTCCTGATCTAAAGCTGCCAGTGCATCAAAATCTAATTGGGCTGAGCTCAGTGATGCCTGAAACTGAGAATGGGCTTCACGCAAGGCCTACAAATAAACACAATAAATTGTGATAACGACTTATACTAAAATGTCTGGACTATAAAACCGAAAGAATTAACAATCTGACTAAGAATCTCTTGATATACACTAGTTTAGAATTTTCTTAATATTTAGTTTTCAATTTTTTTTACACTAATGACTTTTCACTAACTATGTAGATGGATTTCTAATCCTGTTTCTAAATAATGCTTTTGTTCAAAATTCGGGTATATGTCAGTGTAACAAATAAATCTGCACGTTTGCCTCCCCCACAAAAAAAAACAACAACAACAAAATTTAAAACAAGACAGTTACCTTGAAACATGAAGAAATTCTCAGTTTTCTATGATTTTTTTCCAGACATATTAATTCAAATTTTTATTTATTATACTGGCTATTAATCTGTATAACTATCTATAGACCTTCTCATTGTTGTGGTGAGTATGCCTGGCCTTTTTTTCGAATACTGAATCTCTTAATTTGTTCATATACCTGTGAGGCTAGTGACATGTAGAAGAAAAAGAAAAATTCCAATACCCTAATTTCCTCAATCGAATTACAGCGGACAGGATCAGTCAGGTCTTCTTCTGCGTTTTCAAACCAACTATTAAATGCTGAAGCTTTTTTGGCAAAGGTAAGAAAGAGATCTTCAATCTGCAATGAAACATTGATTTTTAGGTTTTAAATCATGACAATCCAACATAGCTTAAAATATTAATATGCATGCTTCACTTTAATCATACATATGTCATCATACAAGTTAAACAGTGGAAAAAATCAAAATGTTGTTTGCATTGCTTCCTGTAACCAACAATAAAAAATTATGTATCATTGAATGGTCCTACAGTACCTGTTTAAACTGATCTTGCATGGTTAGGAGGCGATGTTTACGGGCTTCCGATGCTGCCATGAGATTGTGCCACCTACATATACGTTCAAATAAACACACTTAAACTCATGATTGTTTGAGCTAAGCAATTTCTTAACTTATATAATTACTGATTACCAATAGTAATGTAATTCTTTGATGATCTTAATTGTTTTTCATCGATATAGCAAGTACTGAAAAAATTGTAGGTCAAAATACTATCAAACTTCATATCAATCACAATTATATTTTATAGTAGGACGTTTTAATAAGTTTGCTTGTTCACGGAAGTTTAGTGTTAAGTTACTCAAATGCTACGTATGCTAGCTGTTCCTAATTTTGAAGTGATAGTAGAGAGAGAGGAAAGGGAGCTAGTTAACTCCACCCATCATCAACTCTTGGGTTATGCTTTACCAATGACCATCACAATATAACATATGCACAACTGAAAAGATAAGCATCTTCGGTGACAGATTTTGACACCATAAGTTTTAGTCTGTACCCTAACCATCAGGCCCTGTCAAGAAGACTGTAAATCTCTTGATGCAATTGAAACGACTATCTAATTGGCAGCTCATAGAGCACAGGTTTAAAAAAATAAAAAAGATATATTATTAAGTGAAACATACGGTATAAAACCAGTACCTAGATGTCAGCTCATAGTGCACAAAAAGAAAAAAAAAGAAAAAGATACTAACTGATCTTTCTGAGTTGATATAAATTAGAAAAACAATTTTACAAAAACCTTTTTAAACAAAAAAAAATTCAAAACAGGGTGCAAAAAACAGTTTTAGAGTATAAACCAACAATTATTACACACAAAACATGCTTACTTGAAATAATTTAGCTCTATTGGATCTACATCACAGAGTTTGAAAAACACTTTTGAACAAGTCTTTTTCAAGAAGATTTTGAGAAATCCAATATTAAACTTGATAATTTTGGAAATTTCAAAAAAAATTCACCAAAACTCAAATTTTGGATTTATAATCTTGAAATATTTGTTGCCATTTTATTTAAGATTATTCAAGGAATCTCAATTAAAACAACTTTAAAATTCAGTCGTTTTTTTGTTGATGTTATACACGTTAATTGACAATGGAGTACGAAAGGGTTATACATGAATACTGACGATGTAGTATGAAAGGGTTATACATGAATACTGACGATGTAGTATGAAAGGGTTATATACGAAAACTGACTATGTAGTATGAAAGGGTTATACATGAATACTGACGATGTAGTATGAAAGGGTTATATACGAAAACTGACTATGTAGTATGAAAGGGTTATATGCAAAACTGACGATGTAGTATGAAAGGGTTATATGCAAAACTGACTATGTAGTATGAAAGGGTTATATGCAAAACTGACTATGTAGTATGAAAGGGTTATATGCAAAACTGACTATGTAGTATGAAAGGGTTATATGCAAAACTGACGATGTAGTATGAAAGGGTTATACATGAAAACTGACGAAAAAGTATGAAAGGTTATATACAAAACTTACGATGCAGTATGAAAGGGTTATACATGAATACTGACGATGTAGTATGAAAGGGTTATACATGAATACTGACGATGTAGTATGAAACAGTTATATATATATATAAAACGGATGATGTAGTATGAAAGGGTTATATACAAAACTGATGATATAGTATGAAAGGGTTATGTAC